TGCGCCTACTGGAGCACCAGATCCACATCCAGGAGCACTGGGTCCAGGAGGACCTGCGGCTGTGGCAGCAGAGCTTGGAGGTGCTGGAGGAGCAGAGCCGTGCCCTCAGAGGTCACCTCCAGACCCTGGTGGACAGGTTCCTGTCTCCTCCTGCTCCTTCCCCCTGCGGCCTCCCCAGCTCTCGCCCCCCCTCCCACCCCTGCCCCCCCCCCCGCTTCCTCCGCACCCCCCATCTCTCCTGTCCCCCCCTCCACATCCACTCCCACCCCCCCACCCCCGTACACACAATGCTGTGAGACGGGAGAGCCAGCAGGACCCCCAACCCTGATCTTTCCCTTCCCTTCTTCCCCTTCTTCCCCTACCACCCCCTTCCAGCTCCCTCCTCCCAGGTTTCCCCCGACCCTCTCCCACCCTCACTCCTGCTGCCCCCTACCCCAGTTATGTAAAATAAAAAGAGATTTTTGTTGGAAGAACAGGTGTGTTTATTTGACATTAGGAAGGGGGGTTAGGGAGGAGAAAGGGGAAGGAGGTAAGGGTGGAAGAAGGCCCCAGTGGGGCATGCAGGGAGAGTTCAGTCCTCCTCCTCCACCTGGAAGCTCTCCCGCAGGGCTTCCCGGATCCAGACAGCCCCCCGCTGGTCTTCCCAGATGGGGCAGTGCAGGGCTGCATGTACTGGCCAGCCATGTGGTCAGCCTCAGCCATCCAAGCTGGCAGGAAAGCCTTCACCTTCCGTTCGCATAAATTGTGCAGCACACAACATGCTGCCACCACGGGAGGGATATTGTGCTTGGCGAGGTCGAGGCGGATGAGGAGGCACCTAAATCATGCTTTCAGTCGGTGGGTGAGAAGGCATCTAAATCGGGCTTTCAGGTGTCCGAAGGCCCCCTTGACCACAATGCGGGCCCTGGTGAGCCTGGCATTGAAGGTTTGTCGGGAGGGGTTGAGGTGCCCCGTGTTTGGCTTCATGAGCCAGGGCTGTAGGGGGTAGGCCTCATCCCCCACCAGGCAGATGGGCATGTCCATGTTCCCGACCCTGATGTGGCAGTCGGGAAAGAAGGTCCCGGCCTGAAGCCTCTTGCACACAGAGGAGTTACGGAACACCTTGGCGTCGTGTGCCTTGCCGGACCAGCCCACATTAATGTCCGTGAACTGGCCCCAGTGGTCACACACGGCCTGCAAGAGGACGAGAAGTACCCCTTGTGGTTGATATACTGGGGGGCCTAGTGTTCCGGGGCACGGATGGGGATGTGCATCCCGTCGATGGCCCCACTGCAGTTGGGGAAGCCGAGGGCACCGAACCCCCAGATGACCGCATCCAGGTCAGCGAGGTGGACCACCCTGTGGAGCAGCACCCAGTTGATGGTCTTGACCACCTGCAGATGGACACAGCAAAACGTGAATAACTGGGGCGCCCGGGTGGCTGGGAGTGTTCATTCCCTGGCACTGCCCCATGCCCCACTTCCGGAAGCAACCCCCGCGGGCGGCATGTAGTACGGCCGGGACAGACTGAACCCTCCGGTGCGGGGCACTTTCGCCTCCTCCTCCCCACTCCCCCCTTTTTCCCTGGGGCGGCCCATCCCCTCCTTGCAACCCCCCTCCCTCCTGGCCCAGTGGCCGGCGAGTGCCGTACCTGCATTAGCACTGCTCCGACAGTGGTTCTCCCCACGCCGAACTGGTTCCCGACGGATTGGTATCTGTCCGGCATGGAGAGCTTCCACAGGGCGATGGCCACACGCTTCTGGAGGGGGATGGTGGGCCTCATGCGCGTGTCCCTTCTCCACAGAGCAGGGGTGAGCCACTTGCAGAGCTCCAGGAAGGTGTCCCTCTTCATCCTGAAGTTCTGGGTCCACTGCCTGTCTCCCCAGCTCTCCAGGGGTTCCCGACGGATTGGTATCTGTCCGGCATGGAGAGCTTCCACAGGGCGATGGCCACACGCTTCTGGAGGGGGATGGTGGGCCTCATGCGCGTGTCCCTTCTCCACAGAGCAGGGGTGAGCCACTTGCAGAGCTCCAGGAAGGTGTCCCTCTTCATCCTGAAGTTCTGGGTCCACTGCCTGTCTCCCCAGCTCTCCAGGACGATGCGGTCCCACCAATCGCTGCTAGTGTCCAGACGCCAGATGCGACGGGGCACACTGGCATCCAGGTGCTGCTGCCGCTCCTCCACGACCCCCAGGGAGGCCAGGGAGAGAGCCAGGGGGCTGACGTGCACCAGATGGTGCAAGGCAGTCTCCCCAGGCGGAGAGGTAGGGGGCTGACGTGCACCATTTCTGGCAGGCTTGCAGCAGCAAGTCCAAAAACTGCACCAGAAAGCCCAGGGCGAGCTCTGGCTCCATGTTGCCAACTGCGGCGGCGGCCCCAATGGGAAGCACCGACACAGGCAGGCAGAGAGAAAAATACTTTGCTGTTCCTCGGCGAGTTAGGCAAGCAAGCGGAAAAGCTGAGAACCGGCTGTCCAGAGAGGTCCCTTTAAGCATGAGCCTCAGACAGCAGCCACACAAAGCAATTACTGACCTGAAGCCCTGCCGGAACCGGTTTCAGCTGCCCTTAAATGAGACCCAGCGTGCAATCAGTGTGGACGCGCTAGTTTGAATTAACAAAACGCTAATTCTAATTAGTTTTTAGGTTTAGATGCACTCATTCGAATTACCTTAATTCGAATTAACTAATTCGAATTAAATTAGTTCGAATTAGTGCTCTAGTGTAGACATACCCCTCTTTTTTATCATGCCTGAAAAAGGAGGTGGTCCGTGAAAATTTTTTGATTGGCCTGGTAGTCTGTGGACTGAAACGAGTTGAGAACCACTTCATTACAGCATAGTTTTGCCACTCTCCCCACCAATGTGAGATTTGCATTTTCTGTTTATTTTCTGGACCTCATTCACGACCTATTATAAAAAGGACCACTCCCGTAGATGTTTTACTCTAAGTGCATTAAAATGTTCCCTGATAGTGAGGAAGCACTCAGCCCTTCTTTCAGTATGTCTACATAGCAGGGCTAAAACTGAAATAAGCTATGCAACTTGAACTATGTTAATTGTGTAGCTTAAGTCGAAATAGCTTATTTTGGCTTTTTGCACTCTATACACAGCAGGAAGTCCAAGAAAGAGCACTTTTCCTCCGACTTCCCTTACTCCTTGTAAAATGAGGGTTACAGAAGTCAGAGTAAGAAGTCCTCCAGCTCAACATTATTTTGACATTATGTCAAAATAACTGCTTATAGTATAGACTTGGACTATGTTATTTTGGAATAACACTGCTGTGTGGATGTACCCTTTGAGAAGGATGGTAGTCTGTGACTCTTTTAGTTTAGAAAAGAGAAGATTGAGGGGGGACATGATAACAGTTTTCAGGTATCTAAAAAGGTGTCATAAGGAGGAGGGAGAAAACTTGTTCATCTTGGCCTCTGAGGATAGAACAAGAAGCAATGGGCTTAAACTGCAGCAAGGGAGGTTTAGGTTGGACATTAGGAAAAAGTTCCTAACTGTCAGGGTGATCAAACACTGGAATAAATTGCCCAGGGAGGTTGTGGAATTCCCATCTCTGGAGATATTTAAGAGTAGGTTAGATAAAAGTCTATCAGAGATGGTCTAGGCAGTATTTGGTCCTATCATGAGGCAGGGGACTGGACTCGATGACCTCTCGAGGTCCCTTCCAGTCCTAGTATTCTATGAAGACTGCCAAGGAACCATCAAAGAGCTGGTAACTTGTGTTCACAAGTATTGGAGGCGTCATGAAAGACAATCAAACAAAAGTAATTTGAACAAAGAATACCTGAACTTTATTGACTATCTGCCATGTTTCATGCCTTGATAACTAGGCCAGAGCATGCAAGGCAATGATAATAAATCGTCACTTGGCTGTCACTAGTTTGTAACTTACTGCTCACTCCATTGCATTGCACAGTGCTACAATGTAATTATATGGTGAAATGGAAAAATATCATAATTCTACTAAATGTGTAAGTTATCTTGCAGCTAATTTTGTTTTTATAGTGAATTGATGTGAAATGAAAAAGTAAATATATTTAATATACTAACTTGTAATTAACAAATTTATATGTATCTTCTCAGGGAGTTACAAGGTACAGCAGTGGGACACACATGAACAAGTGTTTCTTGAATCTGCACCTGGTTTGGGAATGTTTGTCACCATTACAGCTCCTACTAAGGAGGTAAAATTTACTATTCTGATTTGGAGGCATTTATACTGACTCTTGGAACTGAAAAGTCATACTATCTAATGGAATGGACAATATTTTAAAAAATATATGCCTAAAATAGGTTCCTAAATCCATATTTAAGCAACCGATTAAGTAGTCTGATTTTCAAAATTGCAGATTACATGTTGGTTGTCATTAAACTCAGTAAAAGAAGAAGGGTACCTTTGTACTCTAGTAAAGACCCACTAAATAAACTGCTGATTGTGCACCCATCAACTTTGTACTCCACTGAGTTGAAAAGAATAAGGGGAGTCGATGGAAGAGTGTCTCCCATCGCTCCCAGTAATGGGGACGATACGGTAATTTGAACTAAGGTACACCGACTCCATCTATGCTATTCACTTAGCTGGGATTGTGTACCTTAGTTCAACATTGCATTCTCAGTGAAGACCTGGCCTAAGGTTACTTATTTATGTGCTGAAGTAAAGATGTAGGAACTCCACTAAACACTAATTTTTTAAAATTTTGACTTTAAAATCTATAGAAAAGTTTTTAATCTTCAGTGTAGACCACATTTTTCTAATGTGTAGTCCCTAAATAAAATGCAAAACTTAGGTTAATTGTATTTATATTCATAAAATAACTACAGTATTATTTATATTAAGTTTAATTTGTTAAATACATTTTTATGTTTTGTACATAGCATTTTATTTTTATATTAATAATGATAGCTCATAAATAAAAAATACATTTAATACTTACATTACAGCTTCTGTTGTCAAAATTGTATGGTCCACAAGCAACATTTTCTTTTACATCACATTCACCTGGAGAGTATAATATCTGTTTGCAGTCTAACTCCACAAAGCTTATCTCATTTGGAGGAAGTAGGCTGGTAAGAGTATTTCTTAAATAATCTTTTTAATGATGATATCTGATCTAAATCACAGGCTCTGGAAAACAGTATGTCTATGTACATTATAGAGCTCTAGGAGCATAATTACTGAAAAGAGTGATGGGATTATGAAGGTATCTCAGTAGATCCATGTGTTCAATGCTCGTCTTTGATCTTGCAAAATAATTTCACATACATGGCTCCTTGGACCTCCTGAATTCAATGTGGCTCCACCTATGTAGGACATCCTATGTTATTTGGCTGTGATCAGTGCTTAAAACTAGAAGATTCTTGCTTTGATGAACTATCTCAGTGTTTGCAGATGACTTGTTAGCTAACATAGCCCAAATAGTGGTGTAAAAGATTACTTATTTGAAAGCTATTACGTTTCTGTCACTCCAGTACCTTTGAGAAATACTTCTATAAACATTACAGAGTTAAAATCTGTTGGAGAGAGACATAAATGAATTATATATTTATCTTTCTTTATATTGTTATAAACTATGCTATACTTTAGAAGTTATTGAGGGAAATTATCTTTAGAAGCATATTTAATAACCTGCTGGAAGTGCTATACTATGCCAGGTGAAAAACTTAGCACTATTTCTTGTTATTTCTGTTTCTGACTTTGCTTCAGCTACAACCTAAGTGGGAAGAGTATTTAAAAATGAACTGCTAATAGTATCAATTCTTGATTAGAGTAGTAGCCCTAAGAATATTAATTTTTTGCCCTTTGTTGGACACAGTATAATAAATATTTCATACTAGCTGAATTAATAGAATAAAACATAACACTAATAACAAAGCATGTTAATTTGTGTAATCAGAGATTAAAAACTTGATAATATTATCTCTTTACTAAGGACATCCATGAAACAGTTAAAATCATTCCTACAAGATGGCTAACAGAAAACTTTTGTTACTGATGCCTCAATTTGTTTCAAGCCTTTAAAAAAAGCCCACACCATAAAGCCATGGAAATAATAATTGTTGTTATTGTGTTCACAGCGTATTCACCTGGACATTAGAGTTGGAGAGAATTTTTTTGATGAAGCTATTGCTCAAGCCAAGGACAAAGTTAATGAAGTTAACTTTAGACTTGGACATCTAATTCAGCAAATTGATCACATATCGAAAGAACAAAGCTATCACAGAGTATGTTTGTTCCCTAATAGAAATATGAAAGAATAATGAATGAAAGCATCTGGATATGGAAAGTAAAATATTGGGTGGCATATTACTATATTGAGTTGTAGTATTATTCAGTATTATTATAATTAAATGTTATTACATGTACTATTAATATGTAACCAAATTGGCCAACAATGTGTAAGGTATTAATTAAAATTGAATGATGTGTATTAATTAAGGTTTGTAAAATATTTTTAAGCTGTGAAGCAAAATACATTATATAAGCTAAGAATTCATTATTAATTAATCTTTATATTACCAACAGTTTTACACGAAAGTACTTTCCACTGATTAAATCATTGGTTAATTTTAGTTTTGCTGGTCATAACTGCTATAGTTAAAGTTGTAGTTGCATCAAATTTTCATTTAAATTCTAATTTCACATGCCATAACTTTGTGATAAATTATTTTGGGCTGAGATTCTCAGTACTTAATCTCAACCTAAAGATAAATGTGTTTTACAAGGACTGAGTAAAATCTTTCTATGTGCTACAGCAATTTGTAGGCACTTTTTGTTAACAGAATACAAGAATGGTAATTTGTTTCATCCTCGTCATAGAGGCCTGGGGCCTCTCATCATTTCATAGACTAGAGCCTCTCATAGAGGGCCTCATTATTTCCACAGAAATTGAATAAATAAGGGCTAGCTTATAGCATTTAGCTATGCCCTCTCTATACATTATCTCTGACCAGTTGCTTGCAAGTGAGAAAGTATCAGGAAAGCAGCTGTTCTCCCTTCTCCATGTCTCAGTCACGGTTTCAATAGTCCTAATATGGATGAACAGGATGGAATCAGAGACAAGATTTAGTTGTATATAAATAAATAAATAAAGTAAATGCAAGATGCAATGTTTAAAAAAAAAACCAACGTTTAAGCATCCACAGTAGTAATTTTTGCTTATAATAGGAACTACAATGCTAACTACTGCTTAGCAACATAATCCCCAATTTTATAAACACAGATGTGAGTGATTTTTGCACAAATGGGCTATTAATAGGATCAATATCTATGAAGAATATTTTAAACACAGAAATTTTCTTTGGACAGAGCTTGCAATGCAGCAATGAATGCAATAAGTGCTATTATTGTATATTGCGTATTATTGAATATTTTATTGAAATATGTGTGTCTGTGCTGGCTACAAGCTTATAACACCACTGGAGTTTTGCAGTTTCTTCTAATTTTTTGTATCTAGAACAATTCTCTCTACAACAGATGAAAAAAGTAATTAAAGATACTCTGTGAAACTTTCTGAGCTTGATTCTGAATGGCACATGCACATAGTAGTGCATATGCAAGTACAAGGTTAAAAAAAAATCTGTTAAAATAGAAAAGGGAATTCAGTCCTACAGTCATAAGAATGGAGGTTTCTGCAAGTTACTCCAACCTGGTAGTAGCCAATGAAGATTGAGCAAAGAACAACAAAAATGACTAAGTATTTGGAATGGTTCCCATATGAAGAGATATTAAAAAGACGAGGACTTTTCAGCTTAGAAAAGAGGATACTAAGGGAAGATATGATAGAGGTCTTTAAAATCATGGCTAGTGTGGGAAAAGTGAATAAGGAAAGGTTATTTACTTGTTCCCGTAACATAAGAACTAAGGGTCACCAAATGAAATTCATAGGTAGCAGGTTTAAAATAAAAGGAAGTTTTTCTTCATACTGCACATGGTCGGCCTTGTAGAACTCCTTGCCAGAGGAGGTTGTGAAGACCAGGACTTTAACAGGGTTCAAGAAAGAACTAGATAAATTCATGGAGGTTAGGTCCATCAATGGCTATTAGCCAGGATGGGTAGGAATGGTTTCTCTAGTCTGTCAGAGGCTGGGAATGGGTGACGGGAGAGGGATTGCTTGAAGATTCCCTGTTCTGTTCACTTCCTCTGGGGCATCTGGCACTGGCCACTGTCAGAAGACAGGATACAGGGGTAGATGGACCTTTGGTCTGACCCAATATGGCCATTCCTATGTTCTTATGTAGAGCTCCGGATATGATCCAATATCTTTGAAATTAATGGAATTTTATCATTGTCTTGAAGAGGAGTCAGATCAGGCCCCAGAGAAAGAAATTTGGAGTGAAGAATCAGATTGCAGTGTTTAACATTATGAATGTAGTTTTATCCACTGACTTCATTAGTACTTATACATGTGCTTAAAAGACTATACCTAGCACTCAGCCCAATCTGTAACCATATGAAACGTCTGCTTGTATTTTCACTGCAGTACAAAATCCAGCCTTTCATAACCTGTTGTTCAGTGCTCAGATTGTGATTTGCAACCTTGATAGTCACAGGGACGAAAAGTAGAAACTCATTTTCATCAAATGGATAATAGTGAAGAGAACATGGTATAGTGCTTGTTCATTCTCTCCAATATGTGGTCAAAGAACACATGCCTTGATACCAAGTAGCAGCATCAAAGTAATGTACTTAGATTTTTTTAAATAAGATATTTATGCCTTTTCTCTCTTTTCAACAGGAACGTGAAGAGTACTTTCGATTGACAAGTGAAGAAACCAATAGCAATATCCTGTGGTGGGCTCTTGCACAAACATTAATCCTTATCTTAGTTGGAGTCTGGCAAATCAAATCTCTTAGAGATTTCTTTATAGCTAAAAAGCTTGTTTAAGACTTATAGAAATGAATATACTTGTACATTATTCAGCATATAAGGCATAATGTCCAAGTTAATAAAACACAAAATACAAAAACATGCATTCTTTGTCTTATCATTTACATTAAAAGATGAAATTAAACTATTTTTCAAGTAGCTGAATACATAGTAGTAGTATACACTGATAAGTGACAGATGATGTGGGGAAAGCTGAAGTACTCAATGCTTTCTTCGCCTCTGTATTCACGGACAAGGTCGGCTCCTGGACTTCTGCACCAAGTGACGCAAGATGGGATGAAGATGGACAGCCCGTGGTGGGTAAAGAACAGGTTAGGAACTATTTAGAAAAGCTAAACGTACATAAATCCATGGCTCCGACCTGGCTGCCAGACACAGTAAACCACACTGGGGAAAGCACCTAGACCTCGTTTACTTCAACCTCCTCACCTACAAGTTCATCCTCCAGATTAGGTTCTCCATGTATGGCCTCTACACAGGGGCAGATGACCGTTTTGCGGGGCCCCGGGCAGCATAATTCCGCGGGGCCCCCCCTTTGCCACGGCGCATGCGCGGTGGTGCCACGGCGCATGCGTGGGGCTTTTTGAAGTGCGGGGCCTGGGGCGGCCACCCCATTCACCTTGCCCTATATCCGCCGCTGCCTCTACACCTTCTAAAATATTCATAGGGCTCTTGGCAGTAGAGGCGGGCCCACAACCAATGATAGTATCCAGTTCCTTATAGAAACAGCAGGACTCTGGTGAAGCACTGACTAGAGCATCATTTCGCTGCCTGGGCCTTATGATAGGTCTGTCTGAGTTCTTTAATTGTCACTGTGCACTGTGGCATGTCCCACGAAGAACCCTTTTTGCACAAGGATCAAGAAATAAGCCCATATGTGTACTAGTTCATATGGGTCACTCTCAGCTGGGACTGGACAGACCCCTCTCCCCATATATTGATCAGATACAACCCCTGTCCCCATATATTGATTCAGTTCTGCAGCAGTCCATGCAGGGGACCATGGTGCGATGGCCAGGTATAGGCACCTGGGAAGACATCCTGAGACCATTGCACACTGAGACAGCACAAAGGTGACTGTGGATTTAAGTTCTCAAGTAGCAGGAAATGGGATTTAAATATTGCAGAGCTTGCAAAGGTGGGTCCTCTATCCCTGTGCCTCACATTTCTGTCCCCAAACTGAGTATATTTACTACCCTTTTTTCATCCCCTTAGTCTATATCTAATATGGGCACACTGATATATCTTTATATATTCATACAGCTCACCTGAGGTCAGTAGATCTTTCTAGATATTTCTACTAACATACTGAATGTTTATATTATGGGTATTAGGTTTCAGAATCAATAACTCATGGAGTTTTACTTGAGTATGTCAATACCATCTCAGGACTATAGTTTTAGGCCATCTATGGAGTAAACAAAATAGAGATGCATTCATTTCAATTTATTTCACATTCAAGAAGTTTTTTTCAACCGTAACTGTTAGAAACTTAGAGACAGTCCCTCAGTGCAGGCCATCTGCCTTGTACTGAAGCATTAGTGGAATCCTCGAGTGGCATTGTTCAGTGGCCTAAAATGACTGAAGGCATCTCTTGTCCTGCTATCAGTGTAACATGGAATGGCCAGGATATTGTCCAGGTTGGATATTAGGAAAAACTATTTCACTAGGAGGGTGGTGAAGCACTGGAATGGGTTACCTAGGGAAGTAGTGGAGTCTCCATCCCTAGAGGTGTTTAAGTCTCAGCTTGACAAAGCCCTGGCCGGGTTGATTTAGTTGGAATTGGTCCTGCCTAGAGCAGGGGGCTGGACTTGATGACCTTCTGAGGTCTCTTCCAGTTCTATGATTCTATGATTCTATGATAAGAAAAATATTACAAGAAAACATGAAGTACGTGAACTGAGGCTGTGTCTAGACTACAAAGTTCTATCGGAAAAAGGTATGCAAATTGCAAACCACAATTGGCATATCTTTTTCCGCTTTTCTTCGAAAGAAGCTTTTCTGACAATTGGCTCGTCTACACTGGGCCAAATGTTGGGGGGAAAAGCCTCTTTTGGAACATCCCTTCTTCCTCGTAGAACGAGGTTTACAGAGATGCCAAAAAAATGCATCTGCTTTTCCAAAATTATTTTCGGAAAAGAAGATGCATTCCTTGGATGCAGAAGAGTTTTTCCGGGATACCGCTGCAGTCCATACATACCCAGAGTGTGGGGAGGAGGAGGAGGAAATTTGGAAAGATTCTCTTCTCAAGAACCATTCTTGATGCTACCTGCTCCTACTTTATCAGGTTCACACTTTTGGGTCTCTCTTCCCATTTCCTTTTGCAGAATCCCAACCATAGTTTCCCCACTTTCCTCTGAAGATTTAGTTTATATCTTAATCTGAACAGAACCATACATATATAAATCTAAATAGCATGCAGTTGGCAGTCCATCCTGCCTTTTGGCAATTTTTCAGACCATCCCCCTCCCAAATGATCTTGAATAGTAAATTATCACACGTGGAAAGTATCATACTCAGTTTGACTGGGTTATAGATTTCTTGGCAATCCTTGGATTTGTGACTGTCAACTTTATATGTAAGATTATTCACACACTTTCAATTCTTCAGTATATTTCTTTGTTAGAAAGATATTTGTATTTTAATTAAAAGTATACAGATGTTACTTTTGAGTATTGAAAATAGTGGATTTATCAGCAGTTTTGCAGTGTATGACTTAATCATGTATTTCCTCTCTAACAGGAATAACAGATGAATTGAGAAAGTTGCTTCTATAATTTGACAAGTTTTATTTATGTATTATAGATTATGGAGAACTTGGTTTAAATGTGGAAGAAAGGTGGGGTGCACTTCCTAATATGCCAATCTGAATCTATTTGCCTAATTGGGTCAAATTCAACTACATGTTGGACAGCTCTTGTCCAGCACCCTTGGGACCTGACCAGTCCTGGATGAGGGATTTTGCCAGAACAAGGATGGTCATTTCTGCACACACACACCCGCCACTGTCCCCCCAGCCTAGCCCTGCCTTCCAGCTGGCTCCCTACCTGCTGCCAGCTGTGCTGCCCTGCCGACCCTGTGGTCACAACTCCTAACCCCATGGACGGCCACGCCCAGGGGTCCTGACCCCACCAGACAGCTGCACACTGCAGCTCCTAACCCCACCCGGCCACTGCCATCACTACTGCAGATCACAGCTCTGCCAGACAGCCATGCACTGGGTCTCAGCTTCTCTGCTGGGCATTGGGTAGCCCCACCAGCAGCTTGTTGTGGGCAGCCTGCTGCCCTGCTGGCTTCACAGGATTCCATGATGCTGACCCCCTACCAGAACTCTGGTCCTGCATGCCAGACCACAGAGTTTGTTGGATCCAAGAGCCCCCATTTAGAAAGTCTCAACCTGTAATGGTTTTGAGGTAATGAGTCAATATTTAATGCTTTAAATTTTCGATTCAAAATGGCATTTTATTTTTAAATTTCACCAATTTTAAAGCAACACACCTATAAAAATGGTAAAAAATATTTGTAAAGCCAAATCAAAATGATAAATGTAAGGAAAATATTTTTTTTTTTGTAAACTCAAATGTTTCAGTCATTTTGAAACAAATAAAAAAACCCAAAAGATTTTGTGTCAACTCAAAACATTTTGGTTGGTTTCAGGTCAACTCAAGACATTTTGGTTGATTCTAAATTAATTTCTTTTTGTGTGTTTCAATTCAATAAAAAAGTACAAATGTTTGTTGTTGTTTTTGTTGTTGTTTCTTTTTTTTTCTCCCCAGACTTTTGGTTCAGTCTCCAAACCAAAAAATAAAAAATGCACCATTTGTTGAGTTCTCAGTGCATGTGTGCATGTGGGTGGGTGGGGAGGAGAGGATTCATAAAGCCTACATATAGAAGGTTCCAGAAAGAAACATTCTCAGGGTTAAAGAGTCCTAAAGACTGTTTTATAAAGACATTCATTGTAATTTGATGGAGTTGGAATTAGGAAGGCACTCGGGGGAAGAGGCAGAGTGTCTGTGGAGACCCCCATCTGAGCTATTTGCAGCACTCCAGAAGCTCTTGGAGAGCGGTGGAGGATCCCAAGGTTTCCAGCTATTTTACAGTGAGTGTTCCATCCCTGGAGCATGCAGGGATGCCAGACCACAGATGTTGGCAGATGAGGGAAGTCCAGATTATAGAAGTTCAACCTGTACCAGTATTCAAGTATTCAGATTGCCTACTTAGCTGAATAATCCAATATTATTCCTTTTAAAAGAGCTGCCAGATGCAACTGATTTTTGTGTTGTTACAGACTGTTGTATTTCTGAAATGCAGTTACTGAAAGAAGTAAATCCGAAGGTGTTTAATTAAATAAAGAGATGCAATGAATGCTATCTTTTTCACATTGCAAAATATTCCTAGGAAAAAAAACTTGTGGAATTGTGACACAAACTGCAGGAATTTTAACATTAATACAAATGAAAAAGAAATACATATAACTGTTTAGAATATACTTTATTCTGAAAGTTAAGAAAGATATTCTAAAAACAATTTTTGGCTCAAACCTTCTAGGAACTGAGTTCTGGGATCTGTGTTTTCCAGGCATATGCTGATAACAACGTATGCAGCTGAGCAGAGTAGTGAAGTGCATTTCTTAGCATCTGTTATTAGCTGCAGCAGGAACCCAAGCTCAGATTCTAGCAGGTAAAATAAAATGATTATTGGATTATTTATGCTTGATTTGTCATAGAAACAATACATTTGTGCCAGCATGTGGTTATTAGTTAATCTGACCTTATATGAAAAAAATGACGGCTTGTATGCTCATCTCTGTTAAGAGTGTCACACAGACACAATTTATGGTACCTTTTAAGTAGGGTTAGTATAAAAAAAATCAGAATTTCCAGTCTATGAGGAAACTAAGATTTGGAAATTTGGATTTATCCCAAATTGGGATGAAAAGTCGAAGTATCAGAATTATTCACAAAGTGATAGTAGATTCCAAAATATTTTGTTTTGACTTTATCAAAGCATTTTATTATAACAGGTCAAAATTTTTCATTTCAGCTATATTATACTATAGTAGAAAAAATAAAGTAAAATGAGCTAAGTCAAAATGAAATGTTTCAAGTTTAGATGAATAAATGTTTTGCCATTATAGAAGCAAATAATACCCACAACATTTAGCTGCAATTGATACAATCCACCAAAATATTTTGATTTCACTGAAAACTGTGCCATTAGAAAGTGTTTAGCCAACTCTAATCTTAACAATGGTGATAGAAATGTAGCCGTGTTAGTCTGGTGTAGCTGAAAAAAAATACAGTACTATGTAGCACTTTAAAGACTAACAAGATGGTTTATTAGATGATGAGCTTTTGTGGGCCAGACCCACTTCCTCAGATCAAATAGTGGAAGAAAATAGTCTCAATTAAATTTTTTTTAATTGTATCCTTTGGTATATATGGTTGTGACTATTTTCTTCCACTATTTGATCTGAGGAAGTTGGTCTGGCCCACGAAAGCTCATCATCTACTAAACCATCTTGTTAAAGTGCTACATAGTCCTGTATTTTGTTTAATCTTAATAATGTTATTGAAGCCCCAAATATGAATGGCATGAAGGATGCTATTGTTCTGATGTACCACCAGATGGCAATGTTTCTATATAAACCACCTTGATAGGGGGGGCAGAGATGAGTAAATCCATTCCCCCCTCCCCCCCTGCTCACCACCTCATTGGGAGTGAGGGAAAAATTCCCTCTCATGGTCACTGCTTTCCTGGGGTGGAGGAGTGGGTGAATGCCCCATACACCTACTCCCCCTCACATGTTCATTGACTTGTTGGTGTTGAGGGGAGAGTGAATCTCCGCCCCCCTTGATAGGGGGGGCAGAGATGAGTAAATCCATTCCCCCCTCCCCCCCTGCTCACCACCTCATTGGGAGTGAGGGAAAAATTCCCTCTCATGGTCACTGCTTTCCTGGGGTGGAGGAGTGGGTGAATGCCCCATACACCTACTCCCCCTCACATGTTCATTGACTTGTTGGTGTTGAGGGGAGAGTGAATCTCCGCCCCATGTTCACTGCCCTCTGGAGGGGAGAGTCAGGTGAATCCCTGCCTCCCCTCCTCTCTCTCTCTCTCTCTCTCTCATACATACACACACTCACACACACAGCTCTCTCTCTCTCTCTCCCACACACACACACACACACACACACACACACACACACACACACACACACACACACAGAGCACTCAGTGAATCCCCCTGCCCCCACATACACTTAAAGGCCTCATGGAGAAGAGGCAGGAGAAATGCTCCCCTCCCCCCAAAC